TTGAGAATAAAATAACTCAGATTTAATTTTCAAACTACTATTACGTAACTGATTTGGGTGGTAATGCTAGGTGGGTTACTGCAACTTTTATAATTGGTTCTAAATTATGAACTCCGAATTACTGTTTGATTTTTGTAATTATTAATATATACGAATCGACAGCAAATCAATTGTAAGAACGAATTTAGTGAAATGTTAACAGTTAAGTATATTGATCATCAAAAACGCAACCTCTTTTAAGTAATCGATAGTATATTACTGTATTATTATACATGTTAATATACTATATTAGATAGATTCATTGTGACTAATACTAAGCATCGCTGCTGATGCTGATCATAATACATAGATAAATATCTGATAATATACTTATTCATACACTTACGTGGTTTTTTTATACAATATAGCTCAAAGTTACTATTGTGAGAATTTAACTTACTACATTAGTAATGTAACCTGTCAAATACGAACATGCAGATTTTTTTTTTTGGTATGACGTATTAAGCATGATTTATATTCATCACAATATAAATAAAATTTATATCTATTTTTCAAATGTATTTCCTGAGTACTGTAACTCTTGGTAAGATTGTTTCTGAAGACAAGTAGTGAGGCTCTGAAAAATAATCACAACTAAATAATTATTTAATTGTGAAAGCGAATCTTGCACTAGAGATAATGAATACCCAAGCTCAAAATACTTCTGCCAAAACTGATCAAAAAAACTCTTTCTTGAAAGAAAAGAATCAGAAAGAAGGTATCAAAAGCACAACACTTTTTTTATAATAACAATATTTAACAGAGTTTCTTTTAGACCCCAGTGATTTATCCTATTATTCGCCTGACGATGAATTTGGTGACTCTGAAGAGTCTAAAGCATTAACAATTAAGCACAGTTTTCGTATGTAGCTTATCGATTCTGATTCAATAACGTACATTGAAAAAATTATAACCTAATTGTTTGCATTTCATTTCATTATTAAGTTTCCCTCAAGAAAGGTTATGAGGAAACCCATAAATTTCCTGACCCCAAGTACATGTTCAACCTCAAGGCAAGAGGACTTAATACTCGTGAAAAGTTCGTTGCATGGTGGAACGAAAACCATCCAGATTGCCAAATCACTGTTGATTCAATTATCGGATGGACTTATCTCGAAGATGACGATCCTTCACGTTATAACATCCATTGGGAAGAGTATGGAGAATATTGAATTTTATTATATACAATATATATGCCTTGAATTTTTTTATGAAAGCGTTTCTCTTCTCTATCATGTTACGATATTGGACATTTGAACAATGTCTAATTGTCCAAATAATTTGATTGGACATAGTAAATTTTTTTATTGGACATAAAAAAAAATTTAACCTTGGCCTCAATTAAACTTAATTCGGGCCAATATTCACATACAAAATATCTCTAATTTACAGTATATTTTAAAAGTATACTGATAATTATTATTATCCGGCAGCTTATTATGATTCGTCTGCCCAATAAATTTATTATTCGGCAGAAACTACATAGTTGCCGAATAATAAAATTGTTATTGGGCAGACTATCGTCATAAGTTACCGGATAAATCCGTTATCAATCATGCAGATGCCTTATAACTTAATTATTTGGTCAAATGATTTAAAGTCAGCCTAAGAAGTTGAATTCCTTCGGAATTCAATTTCTTAGTCTGATTTTAAATCTTTGACCAAATAAACCAGTTATCAGGCAGTGCCTGCCTGATAACTATTAAATTATATTATTTACTTACAACATTTTTATATATGTACATACACACACTAGATAATTTTAAAATAATATATTTGGTACTGACCTAGTAAAATATGAATAATCAAACAGAATGTTAGAAACTGTAAAATTATTGTATTTCAAAAGTAATAATGACAACAGTTGATTTTATTTTTAATTTTTAAAATAAAGGCATATTATAAAAGAAAAACACCTAATAAAATAAATTAATCAAAATCGATACTTTGAATTAGAAACGTTTATTATTGAACTTTGAGCGAAGATATCTCGACAACCACCAAGTCAAATTCGATAAAGTTTTTTTATTTGAATTCTGTGCATTTGTGGAATTCAAAAAAAAAAATCATGAAATTTGCCTGTGGTTGCCGAGATATCTTCTCTCAAAGTCTTAAAAAATTTTTATTTATTCTTTGAGCAAAAATATCTCGACGCTCACCAAGCCAAATTCAATGAACTTTTTTTAATCTAAATCCTAAAAAGCTGTAGAATTCAAATAAAAAAAAGTTTATTGAATTTGGTTTGGTGATTGTCATGATATCTTCGATCGATTTTTTTTAAAACTTAATGCCTATAAATAGAAGCTGCAACAAATTTTTTTTTATATTTGAGCGAAGATATCTCAGTAAATATCGAGCCAAATTTAATGAACTTTTTTTTATTTGAATTCTACGAAGCTGTAGGATTCAAATAAAAAAAAGTTCATTGAATTTGACCTAGTGGTTGTTAAGACACCCTTGTTCAAGCATTGAGAAAAATTTTAGTACATCATCTACTTTTATAGTCGTTAAGTTTTTTAAAAATTTGAATGAAAATATCTTGACAATCACCAAGCCAAATTCAATAAACTTTTTTTTTTATTTGAATTCTACAGATTCGCAGAATTCAAATAAAAAAGAGTTCACCGAGTTTGGCTTGGTGAGTGTCGAGATATCTTCGTTCAAAAAATAAAAAATTGAGTTTTGATAAATGTTTTGAGTTTTTTAAGACTTTGAGCAAAGATATCTTAGCAACCACCGGCAAATTTCAATGAACTTTTTTTTATTTCAATTCTACAAATGCATAGAATTTATAAAAAAAGTTTATCGAATTTGGCTTGGTGGCTGTCGAAATATCTTCGCTCAAAGTTTAAAAAAACTTCAATTTGTATGGGGTATGAATAGCAAATTTGGGGGTACGACTATCAATTCTCTAAAATTATTATTTTATTTATTATTGGACAATTTGACATATATGTTCCAAATGTCCAATTAAATTTATTTGGACATTGTCCAATGCATCTATCAGTAGCCTGATAAAAATTGTAATTAAAAAAAAGAAAAAACAAAATAATTTTGGCTTATAAACAAAATGTAACTTACTTTCCTATACTCATTAGTAAAATCTTAAATAAGGAATTTTAATGTGTATTTATGGAGGTAAGATTCAGATATCAATGATATTTTGAATACCGGTAAGATCTTGAACCATCAGAATCTTAAACAGATTTAGAAATTTATAAATAAAAAAATTCATATTATTGAAAGGTCAAGTGACTGGACTCGTGTTAATTTGTGGCCCTCAAATTAAACCACGAAGAGTACTTTATTATTTGAATTATATATATATATTTAATTTTGTTCAAGGCATAAAAAATTGATTATTGTAAATATCTTATTACGTTAAAGTTTATTGTCTGTTCATCAACACCAGCAAGTTTACTACAAGTTCAGTAATAAAAAAATAAGAATAAATAATTTTGATAACATAACCAATACATAATATTTAAAATTTTCCAAATTCATTAATTTAAGATACAGGAATAGAGATAAATAGTGTAACTATTTGTTTAAAAATTAGAATATCCAGTAACATTGATACTTTACTTCATTTATAAATTCGAATTTACAGTTGTTGTATAAAACCCTAACAATACTATATAATATAGCTTAAAGCAATCCAGGTGTCTCCAATTAACATTGAAGGCACTATAAAATCCAGCAAAAAATGCTCCAAATTATCAAAAGTACCAAGGAGATAGGAAATGACAAAATAAAAGCAATAGGATAAGTCATTGCCACTAAAAGAAATGAAATTATCACAATCAAAGCAACAATCAGGCAGACAAAAAAACAAAAATCCAAATGTGAAAATTCGGCATGTTTATAAAGAAAAACTTATGAGAAAAAATAATTTGCTAATTTTGCAATTACAGCATTAAAAATTGTAAATTGATATAATTATCTTTTTTTGTTACTGTTACGATTTTAGAATTAAACCCGTGATTTAGTAGTACTAAACGCCTAAAAAACCTGAGCAACAAGAATATTGTGAGGCTCCTAAGTAGTGGCTGAAGGTTTAGAGATACAGATCAATCCCGGTGGTTAGTTACTCTCATCATATTATAACATTAGATAAAGAGTAATCAGTGTGATAAATATTTAGAACAATCGTTGTGTGCTTAGCTCACCATCGCTGTTAGCTTAGCTCACAATCATTGTGTGCTTAAGAAGATGATGTGTAGGAAGCCGGTAATTTTTAGTTGAATTGTGAGCAGGATTGTGAGCAATATTTGGTGGCTATCCTAACGCGGGTTGCTCATAAACCGAAGACTGTTTGTTGTGAAGATAAAGGTGAGATAAAGATAGCGCAGTAACTCTTAGTAAATTAAAAGGTTTTTAAGGGATGAGTTTTCGCCTTGGTAAAGTTTCTTCAGATTATGATGTCTTAATTATAGAGTTTATAAAAGGAATCGGATTCTCACATGAGTAGTTTATTTATTAGTATAGCTATATTCTTTTATTGTATTCTTATATTATTATTATTATTATCATCTATCATTCTTATTTTATTGTTACATAATACGTAATTACCCCGAATAATTAAAGTAATCTATTAAGTGATAACCCCGACTCAGTTTAAGTGTTTAATGACATCATATCACGCGTGCAAGTGTTATAATCCCGATAAAGTTAACCATCGGAGCTAAATTGGCAATTGCCCCAACCAATGGTAACATTACCAATTAAATAATTAACACCTGTTTTTCCAAACCGATCTTGGACAATAAAACGTGAATGCATAATAATTCACTAGTCCATCTTGGATGATATATTGATTGAGAGTTTTTTAAATCATGACATTACGTCAATAAAAATCATTGATCGTGTTAAAGAAAAAACATTGATCGAAAGTTTTTTTAAATTACGATACTACTACAATAAAAATCATACCGTATTTGTGTGTAATAACGCCTATGAGCATTGTTTTGAATAATAGCCTAAGTTAGGCTGAAATTAAAATCACACCTCTTAGCGCCAAAGATTAATATATACAAGAAACTATAGCAAATATCAGAATAATGGCATGAAAAAGCCATTCTCCGATTTATCTGGTGCGTATAATTCTTGTTTAATGTCATTGCAATTTCATGCATGATCTCAATACAAGGAAAAACAGAATGGATTAAAGAACAAAGTTTTAACATAGTTTATTTACACGAAATTTCTTAAATCAATGATGGGGCAACATTTGAAAAGCTCACATGGAAATTATCTCCTTAATATTATGCTAATAGGGGCTTCAGAGTTAACTTATTTTGAAGGTGTTTGAAAAGTCCTATTTTTGGTTTGAAATTTCGAAATCAGAAAATGAAAAAATAAAAAAAATAATGTATATTATATCTTATTATATAAATAGGCTTGCAAATAAAAAAAATAGGATTTAAAGAACGCTGATTACAAAATTAATACGTCGTTAATTTAATTTGAAATCAGAAACCTGAACCTTAAGTAAAGACATTTTTATTCGAGCTCTTTTCGTTTAGATGTTTAATAAACCAATTTTACCCATATGCCATCTAATGTCTTCATTGAAATTGCATCAGCCACAGATCAATTCGCTCCAAATTACTGGATAGTTAACAAAAAAACGCTTGAAATGGAAATACAGTCCAATTCAAATAGTTGCAAAATACCTGGATGAGTATGATCGAGGCATGATTATTAAAGTAGATATCAGTTTAAGAAACAACAAGCAACCGCTCCCATATAAATGCTGTTGCAAAAATATCTCTTTGAAATAATACGCAAGACATCGCGTCATACCGTTTCTTGAAGTATTCATCAATGTTCTTGCTGATCAACTATGTTCCATGGAAAAGAAAGTTGAAGATAAGAATATTACTAGAAACTTTGCCACTCGTTCCTTGGATTCCAAGACGAACAATTTGAAAAATAAAAATCTATTTGAATTTAAAATCATAAACATGAGGACCATTAAACATTAGGAAGATTCAAATCATCTATTAGTATTTTTCTTGTCACAAACACCTGATTCTATCTGTGCTTTCTATTGTAGCAAAGCCATGATTCCAGAGTACGTTAAAAACCTATTAAAAAGCCAGCAAGTTTCTGTATCAAAAACTAATGCAAATATTCCATTGGCTTGTTGTGGTAAAGCATGATGTGTAAA